TTCATGATTTTATATGACAGTCTGGGGGAAATGTAGCTCTTAGTTGTAGTCAGGGGATGATGGGCATATCTGCTTCTGTGTGAGAATCCTATCCTCAGATTCTGACATGCAGAAGTTTGTTCCTTTGTTGATGAAAAATCTATTCTCTGAAAGACAGATTTGTTCATTAAGAGCCAATTATGACTTGTATGCATGCAGTCGATGACATTCTAGTACTGAGAGTCATCAGCTATGCCGCTGCCAGACTTCATTGTTTATTGTAGTTTATGTAGCTTTCAGATGGAGCTAAATATAAACTTGAAGACTTTCTCCAAACCTTTATACTTAGTAAATTTACTAGTTTTTTGTGTATAATAACTGGGTGGGGTGGATGCAGGATGCTGGCAGCACAGAATCACAGCTAGGGCTTGGAGGAACTCGAAGCTGGTTTGCACTATTTGCCAATTGGAAGACTGTGAACTGGTAGATCAATATTCCACCCCCAACCCCAAGTTTCAGTAAGGTTGTCTTTATGTTACATGATTCAGTTCAAGGTCAAGGCAGCTTAGAGATTATCAGCTAAAGATGGGACCTGTTATTTCTACCTTTGATTCTCATATCTAAATGAAAGAGTTTTAGATCCTATAACTATGTCTTTTTTTTTTTTTTTGAGAGAGAGAAAGAACATGTGCACACATGTAAGGGTGGTGGTAGGGGAGGAGCAGAGGTAGAGGGAGAGGGAGAGAGAGAATGTTAAGCAGTGTCTACACTTGGCTCGGAGCCCGACAGGGACTTGATCCCACAATGCTGAGATCATGACCTGAGCTGAAATCAAGAGTTAGACGCTTAACAGCCTGAGCCACCCAGGTGCCCCATGTCTTACAGAAGCTGGTGCTATTCCTTGACTTCTCTTCGATGCCTCTTCTTATGACTCTAGTGTTTTTCAACCTTCTTTTAAAAATGTAATGAATCCCCCCCCCAAATATTTAGTAATTACAAAGGGAAAACTAGTAAGTTTACAGTGGAGAATTCTGGCAGACACCATCTTAACCAAGCAATCTAGGTTCGTATCACTAGGAATGCACATGACAGCATGTATTCCCTGATAGGATGCCCTGAGAAGGGCACATCAGACAAACACAAGTTGAGGCACACTCTACAAAACAATTGGTCAGTACCTTTCAAAAGTGTCAAGGTCATGAAAAACAAAGAATCGGGAACATTGACAAGTTGAAGACATGCAGCTAAATGCAATGTAAGATACTGGATTGGGTCCTAGAGCCAAAAAAAAAAAAAGGACATTAGTGGAAAGCATTGGTAAAAAATAATTTCTGGGGGCGCCTGGGTGGCTCAGTCGTTAAGCGTCTGCCTTCGGCTCAGGTCATGGTCTCAGGGTCCTGGGATGGAGCCCCGCATCGGGCTCCCTGCTCAGCAGGAAGCCTGCCTCTCCCTCTCCCACTCCCCCTGCTTGTGTTCCTGCTCTAGCTATCTCTCTCTCTGTCAAATAAATAAATAAAATCTTAAAAAAAAATAATTTCTGTACTTCAGTTTATATTATTATATGAAGGTTAATTTCTTAGTGTATAATTGTTCTATTATGGTATATAAGATATTAACATAAGAATAGAGTGGGGGGGCACCTGGGTGGCTCAGTCATTAAGCATCTGCCTTCAGCTCAGGTCATGATCCCAGGGTCCTGGGATGGAGTCCCCCATTGGGCTCCCTGCTCAGCGGGAGGCCTGCCTCTCCCCTCTCCCATTCCCCCTGTTTGTGTTCCCTCTCTCGCTATCTCTCTTACTGTCAAATAAATAAATAAAATCTTAAAAAAAAAAAAAAAGAATACAGTGTGTGAAGGGTATATGGAAATTCTCTATACTATTTTTGCAACTCTTCTGTAAGTTTAAAATTATCTCAAAATAAAATGTTTTTCTTTTAAATGTGGTGACCCAAATTGGCCTATTCTCTCAATAAGGGTTATTAAAAAATTACTCTCCTGAATAAGATAGGAAGGGTATTTCATATGATTGGTATATTTAATTTTTTAGTTCTTTTGTTATTTTTTTTAATTTAACTTTAATTTTTTAGTTCTTTTGTTATTATGTGTTGAATAGATGTAAAGTTTATAACAAATGTGTAAGTTGTAAAGAGTAACAATAACATAAACACAAGTGTAGCTTGAAGCTCTCAGTATATATGGCTTTTCCATCCTCCCCACTCTCTCCCTAACCTTTATCCTGAATTTTGTACTTTCATTCTCTCGTTTCTCTTTATAGGTTTACCTTGAAAGTATGTGTTCCTAATGATAGAGTTTTGCATGATTTTTAACTTTATGTAAGTGGAACATCGTATGTATTCTTTTGTAATTTTCCTCCTAAATATTATATTCCTGAGATTTAATCATGTTAATGTGCTTAACTGTAGTTCATTCATTTTCACTGCTGTGTAGCTTTCCGTTGTACGAACATACCACAGGTTACTTCTCTATTTTACCATTAATAGCTATTTGGTTGGTTTCCAATTTTGCTGTTATGAAGAATGCTACCATACACATCCTGTATATGACATATTATGAGAGTCTCCATAGGGTGTATACATAAAATGGACTGACTGGATTATAGGATAAATGCCCCATCAACTCTATAAGATAAAGCCAAATTGTTTCCCAAAGTGGTTGTTCAATTTTTAAGACCATCAACAGTATGTAAGTGTTCCACTGGTTCCACTTTTTCTCTAGCACAGTATTATTAGACTTAAAACTTTTTTACCAATTTAGTGGGTATGTATATTAAAATTTTAAAACATTGCCGTTTATTGTCTACTCTGAATCAAGCACTATGGCAGACATTTTCATACCTTATTTAACTTAATCCTCTCATAACTCTTCTCTGTCCCGTAATAGACACAAATGTTGTACTTAGTTTGTAATACATAATTACCCCTAACTCTCTCTCTGACAAATTTATTCTTTAGTGGGTCTTTCTCCATCTTGTATCTCCCTAATTTATTTCCTGTTTCTTTTTTTTAAATCTCAGTTTAGAAAAAATTTGAGGGAAGGCTCTCTGGTTTCTAAGTGGTTACTAATTTACCCCAGCTCACATTGTCATTTTTAGTAGCAGACTGAAATTAAACCTGGTTCCCTAGCTCCCAATCTTTTTCTTTTCTCTTTTTTTTCTCTCTCTCTTCCCTTTTTCCTCCCACATTCCATTTCTTCCTCCCTTCCTTCACATTCTTCCTCTCTGAGGTTTTTGTTTGTTTGTTTTCCTTTTCTTCCTCTGAGTTTAACAGCTTAAATATACTTTCCAGATGGCTGCTTTGTAATGTGATGTGTGTGCAGAGAACATTACCAGATTGGGTGAGTTCCTGATTCTAGCTAAACAGTCATTACTCAGGCCCCTGGCTGGCCATTAAGTCCCTTATAACCATTTCACGTTCCTAGCTATACTCCTTGTGTGGATTTGGCCAGACTACCCTCTGAGAGCTGCTGATGGCCCTGCAGGGGATGGAGAGAAGCCAGAACTTCAGGACATCCCATCCTTGGCTCTTCTTTCTTGGCAGCTGTAGAAACCCCAAGCCTACTGTGAAGATGTAGGCAACTTACAGTAGGATTGGGTTCCTAGAGAATGGTGATATTAGAACTGCTAAAATTATTTAGGAAAACACAGATTCTGTTGACAGAAGAAACAGACATTAGGTTGGGATACAAACTTTGTAGCCAACAAGCACAAATAATTTTGTTTGGCCTGCACAATATTTAATTTTCTTTCTTTTTCATTTGGATACTTTTATAGGAAGCATGCATTCTCCAATTTGTCCCAGTACCCAGCATTTCATTTCCTATTGTTTTATATCTAACTGCTGTTAACTTTCTGGCTCCTATTTGAGTTATTTGATGCAACTCTGCCTAGATTACTGAAATATGCATTTTATCCTTAATGAGGTCACTTGGGCCTCACAGCAGAACTGGAAGATACATTGTTATTCCAAATCACAGTTTTCCAGCTAGTTGTGTTTTTTTTGGTTTGGTTTATGTTGTTGTTGTTGTTGTTGTTGTTTTCTGATAGCTGAACATCTCTTGGCTGGAAATATCCTTTTATTTAGACTTTACATTTCCCTAAAGATATGAATTTTTTCCCCATCTGATCCTGTTTGGGGTGATTAAGATGAAAATACCTATAAAGTTTTCTAGTCTTGGCTTATCCACACTTAGTGGCTTGGGAGACCTGAAAGAAATTGTTTAAAATAAATATACTTTATTGGCCTTTTCTGGGTTGGGTTAAGGATGAAGAGAAAGAAGAGTTTTTCTGTGTAGCAAACTCATGGGGTTTCATGAAGTATAATTTTCAAAAAGTTAAAAAATATGACTCTCATATAAATACAAATATTTTATTTGTAGGTGTCAAATATCTTATTTAACTCATTAATTAGTGAGGTAATCAGTAATAAGTTAAGACCAGTTCAAATGAAAATATAGGAGCTAAGTATTTACAGGAAATTTAATAAAGGTTAAGATAAGATTTCTGATTTATACATAAAACTAATTGAATTCCTAAAGTGCACAAGTCATAACCTTTGGAGTTATCTTTTTCACCAAACATAAAATATTTTTATTTCTATGGGATAAAAATCTACAAGTTAACCCCTGCCTACAGAATTATAGAATAGTCCCATCAATAGAAAATTAAAGATGTCAATCCAGAACTGCACTAAGAGATCACCCAATAATTCTTTGTCTGTTTCCAATGATCTGTTACAGATAATTTTTCTGACGAAGTGTAGTCATCAGCCTAGACTTGATTGCCAGAAAGTGGAATCTGTTTGCCAAGCTTTGAAAATACAACTTTATGATGAGGACATATGAAATGAATTCCAAAATTTAGCATATGTATCTTAGAGGTAGATTATTTTGGAATTCAGGGAACAAGTTCCAAGTTTCTTAAGCACATGTTTCTTAAGCACATGTTTAAGTGAAATGGTATTGGCATGAGAAATTCTTATACTGAATCTTTTTATTTCCTTTGCAGAAATTCCATGGAATTATAGTTGGTACTATTCTGCAATGTCTCTAATTGAAAGACAAAGTGAGGGCAGACAAAGTGAAGGTAGGTGAACTCAGTAAATATCTAAGTCTCTATGTCATTATTATTGCCTCCAAAAGTAAGTGTGTGTGCATTGAGTACACGTGCTAATGTACATAGGACAGACAAATAGACCGGCCAGTCTATCACTCAAACCACCAATCTACCAAACAACTGACCAGGAAAGGAAATATACTTTGCAGAAGTAAATACTTTGTCCTTACAAGTACAAACTCCACTGTTTGGTTATCTGAGAATTCTGACGTGAGTAGTTCCAGTCTCTTGTACTTTTATTTCTATTTCTATTTTATTTTGTACTTTTATTTGGAAGTTCACCGGAAAAGCCTGTGTTCCTTTTCCTCTCCCCATCCTTCACAACAGCCTCCTGCTAAAAAGAAGTGTTCAGTGTGAAAAGAGGCTGCTGAAACAGATAAGGTCATCCTTTGCAGACTCTTTGTGGACAGAGCAAATAGATCTGGCTATGGTATTAGGGAGGATTTCCATACCACTTCCATGCTCTCCTGTGGTGAATCCAAGTACTAAAGGGAGCTGGGGTAATCACACCCAAGCCTGACACGAGAAAAAAAATTTTTCTGACATAAAATTTTCAAAAAGGAAGCCAGAATGTAGTTCTATATTTAGAACTGCCTGACATGAAAAAAAAATTTTTTTTGACATAAAATTTTGAAAAGCAAGCCAGAATATAGTTCTATATTTAGGCTTCCTTTTGAGGAATGAAGAAGGTGCAGAGAATGAAATTAGGTCACTGATTTCAGGTCACACTAAACCTTTATTTTCTGTCATTGTGCAGTTGTCTGATTCCTGGAGGGAACTCATTTCAAGGGCACATAGTTCCATAAAGAAGAATTCCATCCCAAGGGCACAGGCTTTAGTTCCAGGAAGAGGAAGTCAGGGACCTCCCAACTGAGGGAAAAACCAGGGAGTCCTTTCCTACTCTCAGAACTGCTAAAGGAAAGAAGGCTGGGGAAAAACAAGTTAACTGACCAATTTCTCCCGCATCTTCTTATGAACAGAAAATATGGGAGAGGAGAATACTTTAGGGAACAGTAAATTCAAGGTAAAAGAACGATGTGGCAATCATCAGTAAGGACTGATTTACTTATTCAACAAATATTTATTGATCACCAAATGAATGCTGGCCACTGTGCTACATGCTGGTAATAAAATGGCGACAAACCTACACAGAATCCCTGCTCTCACAGAAATTACAGCTTAGTGAAGGACAACCTTTAATTAAGTAGTAACACGTCAAATAATAGCACAGAGAAATATCAAATTATATCTACAATAAATGCTGTGAAGTAAGATCATATGGGGGCATTGTGGTTAAGAGCATGGCTTCTGGAGCCATACTGTTTAGGTTTGAATCCAAGTTCTGCCACTTACTATGTTATCTTGGGCAAGTCTCTTAATTTCTCTATGCTACAGTTTCTCATCTATGAAATCAGGCTAATAACAGTGCTACCTCATAAGTATGTTGTGAGGATTGAATGAAGAAATATTTGTAAAGCACTTAGGACAGTATCTGGTACATGGTAAACACTAGGTAAATATGTAAAAAAAAATACTTAATCTATAGGAGCTCTGATTTTTTTGTTGTTGTTGTTCGGGAAGATAACTAAGAACTTGAACATTTATAAATGGGGGTTATTTCAAAAGTCCAAAGTTTTACCAGTGAAAAATAATTGAAACTACTTTTCCTGGCCTAAACCCCTTTAAGTAGGCGAGGCCTACCTACTACAGTAGAGTTATTGCTTGTGCTGTTTTCAGCAGTGAGCAATTAATACTGGTCCTTCCAAGATGTTGGCCTCTTAGCTTGAGTCAACAAAATAACAGTGGCAAACCCAGTAATTTGGCTTCTGCCCTTTTCTAGGCTATCAACCTATTCTGGTTGGAAAACTTACAGTACATAGAGTGAATATTGACTGGTTCTAGTGTCTTGCTTATCTACCCTCTCCATTCTATACATCATATTAATCTTCCGAAATTCCAGTTTTATCGTGTTTTTCCCTGCTCAAAGTCTTTCTGGGATTCCTTGTCAGCTACTAATAATTTTAAGGTCATCAGCCTAACATTAAAGCCCTGACTTTATAGTCTTGTTTCCTGCCTCCTTCAGACTCTTCTTACCTCTGTAATATCATACAACTTGTCCAGTCTCAGTGCCAAACTTTTCATTAGGTTCTTCTTCCTGCTTACATACCTGTCTCCTATATTTATATTGAACGGATGTTCATCGTTTAGGTTTAGTGCAAGTTTTTCTCCATGAAGCCTTCTCCAGCAATTCCAGCCACCAACCTCCCCTGTCCCCTCCCCTGCATTATCTTTCCATCTTGAATTCTTACAGTGCTTGGCTTCTGGAGTTTTTAAAAATAATAGCCTTATTGAGGGGCGCCTGGGTGGCTCAGTTGGTTAAGCGACTGCCTTCGGCTCAGGTCATGATCCTGGAGTCCTGGGATCGAGTCCCACGTCGGGCTCCCTGCTCGGGAGGGAGCCTGCTTCTCCCTCTCCTGCTCCCCCCTCTTGTGCTCTTTCTCTCTCTCACTCTCTCTCTCAAATAAATAAATAAAATCTTTAAAAAAAAAAAGTCTTATTGAGCCATAACTTACATGCCATTGAATTACCCTTTTAAAGCATACAATTTAGTGATTGTTAAAATATATTAGAACTGTGCCACTGTGACTATAATTTAATTTTAGAACATTTTCATCACCCCAAAAAGAAACCCCATACCCATTAGCAGTCACTCCCAATTCCTGCCTTCCCCACCCTCTAGCAACCACTAATTTACTTTCTATCTCTGTTGATTTGCCTATACTGGACATGACATAAATAGAATCATAAAATATCTGGCCTTTTGTGACTGGCTTCTTTCACTTAATATTTTCAAGGTTCATGTTGTAGTATGTATCAGTACTCCATTCCTTTGTAAGGCTGAATACCATTCCAATGTATGTATGTATACACCACAATTTATCCATTCACCAGTAGGTAGACATTTGGGTTGTTTCCACTTTGGGGCTATTATGAACAATACTGCTGTAGCCATTCATGTATAAGCTTTTGTGTGAACATATCATTTCAATTCTCTTGAACGTACAATTAATTTTAAGTCTTACTTATATCCTATATTGAATTGTTGCTTTGCTGTTTTGGATATATCTTGTATGATTCTACTAAATTGTCTGCCTTGCACAGTGCCTACAGAGTTTCCTCTGTTCTGGAAAGTATATATGTATACATTTATATGTAAATGCCCTGAAGAGGAAGGGACACAAAGGATATACAGTCTGTTAATGGTTCTACTAAATTGTCTGGGAGAAAGGGAGAAAGAGGGGAAAGGAAACTTTCTTTCTTTATATTTCTGATTTTAGGTCTTTTACAGTTAAAATATATTTATGTGTTACTTTGGGTTATTTGAAAAATCATTAAAGAAAAAAGTGTAATCACAAAGGGAAGGAAGTTGGAGAAACTAAAAGGAAAGGACAGAAAAAAAAAAGGAAAACAATAGGAAGGAGGAAGGGCATAGATATTGTGGCATTTAGAGCAGAAAATTAATCAGAACTTTAGTAATAGAATCCTACACAATACCACACTTAAAAACAAAAAATAGACCATGTATATTGCATAACTCTGTGTGAACATACTACAAACCATTGAATTGTACATTTTATTTTAAATAGGTGAATTATATGGTATGTATATCTCAATAAAGTTATTTAGGATAAAAAAGACATCTACAGTTTTTAGAGTTAGTTTCTAGAATTATGTTTCTTTAGAAAATATAAAGCAACAATTGAATTTATAGGAACTTTTCCTGACCTCAGTAACAGGAGCAGGGTAGCAAGATAAAATACACGATTCTCAATTAAATTTGAATCTCAATAAATAATGAATAATTTTTTAGTATAAATATGTCCCACGTAAATATTTGGGACATACTTGTCTTTGTATTTTTATTTGCTAAATCTGGCAACCCTAAACAAAGGGAATTAAGTTTTGAATCTCTTAGAGTGAAATTGCTTCTTTAGTATCACTAGGATTTACTATTAGATCCAGCTTTGTGTGAATGGCATTTTGTTTCTAAATGATGGCCTTTATTATAAGTTTTCCAGCCTCTCATCTCCTATCCCAAGGAAGGTTTCATGACTGGGAAACCCTGAAAGTGATATCTAGCAGTTCAATCAAACATGATTAATTTTACCTTTACCACATTGATAAAAAATCATTGGCTCTACTTTCCAAATGTCAGAATGGCAAAGCACCACTCCCAACTTCGCTCTATATGGAGTGATATGAATGATATTCCTGTCAGCTTTTCCCTTGAGAGAAGAGGGAAGAAACCAAAGGTCTCCAACAGGAATAGTGGGTAGGGCCTTTAGTTTTGTTTTTTGGCTTTTTAAAAGATTTATTTATTTTAGAGATTGAGAGAGCATGAGTGGGGAAGGGGCAAAGGGAAAGGGAGAGGAAGAGAGAGAATTTCAAACAGACTCCTTGCTGAGCACGGAGCCCAGCATGGGGCTTGATTTCATGACCCCGGAGATCATGACCTGAGCCAAAAGAGTCGGACGCCTAACTGACTTAGCCACCCAGGAGCCCCACTTTAGTTCTGATCATGTCCTGAACTGTGCCAACTGACCAATCTTCTGTGTCACCCTATTACTAAATTAGGATTTGCTGGGTGTTTTGTTTTGTTTTGTTTGCTTTTATTACTATTTTGATTTTCTATTTGTTTTATTACTATTTTATTTTCTTTTATTACCATTTTGATTGTCCTTTGAGTAATTCTACTCTTATTTCTGCTCAGCTTGGACAGGTAAGTTAGTGAAGTTATGGAGGGAATGGGCAGAGGCAGAGGTAACAGAAGAGCTAGTAGCTCAAGAATTGGACTTTTCATGACATTCAAGACTTTAGTGAGCTTCCTCTCTAGATTCTTTTTTTTTAATTCTTTTTTAAAGATTTTATTTTTTTATTTGACAGAGAGAGACACAGTGAGAGAGGGAACA